CTCTGTTAGGGCGTGTTCCTACGCCTCTGATCAGACTTGCCTGGTAAAATGCGCGAAGGGTTTTGGGTTTACATGAATTTCAGTGTGATGTGACGCGAGCCTGCAGCCAGGTCTGTCGAGGCAGACAGGTGTGTGCTGGGTGGGTGCTGTCTCCACAGACCTGGCTGCTTCTCACCTTTCAAGACACAGCGTAATAGCCACGTGCTGGGTCAGGTCGAAAGTCCACCAGGAATGCAACTTTATCTTTCAAGCTCCAACTGCAAAATACTGTCACTGGAAGAAGTTACAGACACCTTCACTCGACTACAGCCTGAACAAATAACGTGCTTCGTTTGTTATGTCTACAGCAATCAATTGGCACAGGCGACTCTCAAGGTCGGGTCAAAAGTCCGCCGGGAATGCATGTCCTAGAGCATCCACTTGCCAGAGAAACAAACAGCTCGAATCCTGCTACACGATTGCAATGCACAAAACCTACCGTAATGCATTTGTCCCTCTAAACACCTAGCATGTGAGCGTTGCTTTCAAAAGGGTGGTATGGTAACTCTCACGAGTTTAGCCTCCACATGTGTCAAATCTTATAGGGATGCCTGTAAGGTATCCCTGTAGGGACCCCCGTAATGTCTCACAGGTGTACCCCCGTAGGGATAAATGGCAAGTTGGCAATTGCCAGTGAGACTCAAGACTCAGTCATCGAGGTAGTAGTAGGTGCCGGCATTCTTCTGCTCGCGGTCCTTCACAGATTCCATCTTGTTGATTCGCGGCCGGAAGTTGGTGGGTCGCGCCTGAATGTGATGTCCAGTTGCTGATTGGATGGGGGAGAAAAGGGGGTGAGAATATGGGCGGGTGGTGGGTGTGGGGAGAGGAGAGAGGACAGAGGTGCCTTCTGCTCGCGGTCCTTCACAGATTCCTTCTTGTTGATTCGCGGCCGGAAATTGGTGGGGTCATGCATGCCTGAACGTGATGTCCAGTTGCTGGTGGTGGGGGGGGGGGGAGAGAATGGGGTGGTGGTTGGTGGCACAGGAGCGAGAACAGTGGTGTGAACGGGAATGAAAAAGCTCCCATGTGTGCCGGCGGCCTTCTGCTCGCGGTCCTTGACAGATTCCATCTTGTTGATGCGCGGCCGCAAGTTGGTGGGGTCCCTCCTGAACGTGATGTCCAGTTGCTGATGGGGTGAGGGGAGGGGTGTTGATGGTGGGGGGGGGGGACAGAAGAGACAACAGGGGTGAAAACGGGAGTGAGAAAGGGGTCCAAGAGTGCACCCTCCAAGGGTACAGCTCCCATGTGTGCCGGCGGCCTTCTGCTCGCGGTCCTTGACAGATTCCCTCTTGTTGATGCGCGGCCGCAAGTTGGTGGGGTCCCTCCTGAACGTGATGTCCAGTTGCTGATGGGGTGGGGGGAGGGGTGTTGATGGTGGGGGGGGGGGGCAGAAGAGACAACAGGGGTGAAAACGGGAGTGAGAAAGGGGTCCAAGAGTGCACCCTCCAAGGGTACAGCTCCCATGTGTGCCGGCGGCCTTCTGCTCGCGGTCCTTGACAGATTCCCTCTTGTTGATGCGCGGCCGCAAGTTGGTGGGGTCCCTCCTGAACGTGATGTCCAGTTGCTGATGGGGTGGGGGGAGGGGTGTTGATGGTGGGGGGGGGGGACAGAAGAGACAACAGGGGTGAAAACGGGAGTGAGAAAGGGGTCCAAGAGTGCACCCTCCAAGGGTACAGCTCCCATGGGCGTGCCGGCGGCCTTCTGCTCGCGGTCCTTGACAGATTCCCTCTTGTTGATGCGCGGCCGCAAGTTGGTGGGGTCCATTCTGAACGTGATGTCCAGTTGCTGGTGGGGGTAGGGGGGGGGGGGGGGGTTTCGAAGAAGTGAGCATGGAGGTGACAATATAGAATGGAATAACTTGCTTAGTACAAGTGCAAGTTGGTGAATTTCTGCTGGTACGTGTTAATAACTTGCTGGTGGGGTGGGAGGGGGGAGGAGGAGGATGGGGAAGGGGGATGGGGGAGAAGGGAGGGGGGGGTTGCAGGATGAGTATAATGGTGGGAATCAGGGTGAGCATACGGGTGTGTGTGGGGTGAGAACAGCAATGAGCATCAGGATAACAATGGGTAAGGCACACAGACGTTGGCATGGTCCTTGCAGAATGTGAACCAGTCGTGAACCCAAGTCATGAGCCCCAGTCATGACCTTGCAGGGTATTTCTGAGAATTCTAAAAAATACCCGGAAACCCGCAGCCTCGACGTTTGAGAAATCTAAAAAATCACATCTGACCATGAACGTGAAAATTACAGGCTGAATGGCATACCGAGAGGAAGAGGTTCATTCCGCTGTTGAGCGACTGGGGCGTGCGAGCAGTGCAGTCCACAGACGGCTGCCCCTCGTACACAATGACCCGGTCCGCCAGGTACGTGGCCATGATGAAATCGTGCTCATGGAGGGGGGGAGGGGGGCTCACTCACACAGCAAGAGAAAGAGAGTGTCTCACCGAGAGGAAGAGGTTCATCCCGCTGTTGAGGGACTGGGGCGTGCGTGCCGTGCAATCCACCGACGGCTGCCCCTCGTACACGATGACGCGGTCCGCCAGGTACGTGGCCATGATGAAGTCGTGCTCCACCACAAACGCTGTCTTCTTGGCGTGCAGGATGAACCGCTTGATCACCTTGGCTGCCACGATGCGCTGCTCTGAGTCCAGGTAGGCCGAGGGTTCGTCGATCAGGTAGATGTCGGCAGGCTGGTGGGAAGCAGCACAGGGGGACGGGGGGGGGAGTGTGGGGAGAGAGGGATGAAGCGCTTGATGACCTTGGCCGCCACGATGCGCTGCTCTGAGTCCAGGTAGGCCGAGGGTTCGTCGATCAGGTAGATGTCGGCGGGCTGCATTCGGGAAAGGGAAGAGGGAGCAGAGGGAGCAGAGGGAAGAGGGGAATGCCAGTGCAGGATGGACCTCTTGATCACCTTGGCCGCCACAATGCGCTGCTCCGAGTCGAGATGGGCCGAGGATCGATCAGGTAGATGTCGGCAGGCTGGAGAGGGGAGGAAGGGGAAGAGGGAACTAGAAGGAAAGAGGGCGAACGAGGGGAGCAGAGCGGAGGGGTGAAGCGCTTGATGACCTTAGCCGCCACGATGCGCTGCTTTGAGTCAGGATGGGCTGAAGGCTCGTGAGAAAGAAGGGGTGGGAAGAGGAGGAGCGGAGATGGAGAATGGAAGGGAAGACTTTTTGCAGAGGGAGAAGGGGGAGTGTGGGTGGAACAGGTTGAACAGCTTGATCACATTGGCTGCTACGATGCGCCACTCAAAACCTAACAAGGAGCCAGTGGGATTGAACCATTCTTGACTTCCCGAGACAGAGAGTCTGGCCACGCGCTGCACTTCCCCCCTGATGAATTCCACACCTCCTGGTCTAACAGCGGGTCGATCTACATGGGGCGCAGCACGTCCGTGTTGGACTGAGGGTGGTGGGAGGAGGGAGGGGTCCCACCACCATCCGCCCCTGGACACACCTGGTTGGCCCGTACCACATAGCTTTCCGAGACAGTGATGGCCACGCGCTGCAGCTCTCCTCCTGACAAATTCACCACCTCCTGGTCCAACAAAGGATCGATCTGCATGGGGCACAGCACGTCGGTGTTGAACTGCGGGTGGTGGAAGGAGGGGTGTGCCCCACCACCACCCACCCAGCTCACACCTGTCTGTGTGCCCTTTCTCACCTTGCCAAGGCAGAGGGTAATAGCCACACGCTGCAGCTCCCCACCAGACAGGTTCACCACCTCCTAGTCCAGGAGGGACTCGATCTGTATGGGGCGCAGCACGTCCGTGTTGAACTGCGGGTGGTGGGAGGAGGGGGGTCCCCCTTCCACCCACCCACCCACCCAGCTCATACCTGTCTGCTCCTTCTCACCTTTCCGAGACACAGCGTGATGGCAACGCGCTGCAGCTCCCCACCCGACAAGTTCACCACCTCCTGGTCTAACAGCGGGTCGATCTGCATGGGGCGCAGCACGTCCGTGTTGAACTGCGGGTGGTGGAACGAGTCGCGGATCTTGGAGTGCAGCAGCGCGCGCACGCTGTGCGGGAACTTGGGGCTGATCTTCTGCGGCTTGTACGACACGTTGAACTCCGGGAGATCTTCCGCTTCCTTGCCGGTTTCCTCGTCCGGGTCCGACTTTAAGAGACCAGCCTGTGTGATAGGAGGGACATGGGAGATCAAAGAGGGAAGGGAAGGGGAAGGAGAATGAGCACGGGAAGGGGAACTTGGGGCTGATCTGATCTTCTGCGGCTTGTACGACACGTTGAACTCGGGCAGGTCCTCGGCCTCCTTGCCCGTCTCCTCGTCCAGGTCTGACTTTAACAGACCCGCCTGCAAGGGATGAGAAGCAGACAGGACAGGAGAGGGGAGGGAAAGGAGTCGGGGAAAGAGAATCGAAAGAGGGAACTTGCGGCTGATCTTCTGCGGCTTGTACGACACGTTGAACTCCGGCAGGTCCTCGGCCTCCTTGCCGGTCTCCTCGTCCGGGTCAGCCTTTAAGAGACCAGCCTGTAAGGGGTTGAGAAGGACACAGGAGAGCGGAAAGGAGAGGAACGAGAGGGTATGAGAGGGGGAACTTGCGGCTGATCTTCTGCAGCTTGTACGACACGTTGAACTCGGGAAGGTCCTCAGCTTCTTTCCCGGTCTCCTCGTCTGGATCTGCCTTCAAGAGGCCGGCCTGGAGGGGTTCAGAACGAGACAGGAGAGGAGGAGAGGAGGGGAGGGAGGAGAGTAAGGCAGGGAACTTGGGGCTGGTCTTCTGCGGCTTGTACGACACACTGAACTCGGGGAGATTCGCCGCCTCCTTGCCGGTTGCTTCGTCCGGGTCAGACTTTAACAGACCCGCCTGGGGAGAAAAAGGGAGAGGAGGGAGGGGAGATGGGAGGGAGGGAGGGAAGAGACCCGAAGGGGCATTTGAGCTGGTGATTGTAAGTAAAGCAGGGAACGGGATTTAAGGCCAAAAAAAATCCCGAAGACGTGCATATGAAATTAGAGTTGCTTATCAGCCTTGCGAAAGCATACCCCCCTCCCTCCTACTACTAGCGAGGAGAGAGGTCACCTACCCACTCCGTGGTGGAAACATGTCAAATTTTCCGTTTCTGGCCTACCAGCATGCGGATGAAGGTGGTCTTGCCGGTGCCGTTCTCCCCCAGCATCACCACGATCTGTGAGTCCGTGAAGTCCCCGGCTCCACCGTCAGCTTAAACCCGCCCTGCTTCTTGACCATGCGCGGGTACTTGTAGCGCGTGTACGTCTTGGCCTCCTCGGGATTATCCACTGGGGTTTCCGCCACCTGATGGGAAGTGGAAGTGGAGAGGGAAGAAGAGGCACGGAGTAGGAGAAGGAGCCGAGGGGGGGAAAGGAGTGCGTTGAGGAGCCTGTAACAGCACACAGAGAGCTTCAAGTCCCTCTGCTCCTTAATTAATAATCATGCACGGGTACTTGTACAGATTGTATGTCTTGGCTTCATCTGGGTTTCAACAGGAGTCTATATGCCACCTGAAGGGAGAGTCGATAGAATGAAATGAGGCGTAGAGAAGCCTTTTAAGCTGCAAAGATTGAACCTGTCTTGGCCTCGTCTTGATCAGAGTTTAAAACTGAGGAAAGGAAGAAACATCCTTTCACAAGGAGTGACAGAAAAGCAGACTTACCCTGAAGGTGAGCGACTCGTCTCGGAAGCGCAGGTTCTCGGTTGGCACAAAGCCGGCGAGGAAGATGTTGATGCCCTCTCGCACTGAGAAGGGCAGTGTGACCACCCCGTAGGCACCCGGCTTGCCGTAGAGGCAGCAGATGAAGTCGGAGAGATAGTCGAGCACACTCAGGTCGTGCTCCACCACAATCACGTATCTGGGGGGTGGGAGAGTGGATAATCGGCCAACAGGATGGGTGCACGGAGCAGAGGGGGATGGGGATGTATGGGGCAGGGGGGGATGGGTGCATGGGGCATGGGCCGGCAGAGACGACGGGCAGTGTGACCACCCCGTAGGCTCCCGGCTTGCCGTAGAGGCAGCAGATGAAGTGGGAGAGATAGTTGAGCATACTGAGATCGTGCTCCACCCACCCACGACGATCGCGTATCTGGTGGGGAGATGATGGTTGCATGTCTGTGGCAGGTGGGGTGGTGCATGGGGCAGGGGTGGTATAGACTCACCTCGTAGCACACTCAGATCGTGCTCTGAGAATGGGATGGGGCAGGGAGGATGGGTGCATCAGAGGTAAGGTAGTGAATCAGACCACTCCGCACCGCCCACTGCATGGCACACAGCTTGCCATATGCGCAGCAGCAGGTGAACGTGTCCGTCCGTTGCATGTGAACATGGTGCCTCTTTCTTTGTGTGACCGCTAATCGCACCTAACAAGGTGTGGGGCGGTGCTCTATCGCACCTAACAAGGTGTGGGCGGTGCTCTATCGCACCTAACAAGGTGTGGGGCGTTGCTCTATCGCACCTAACAAGGTGTGGGGCGGTGCTCTATCGCAACCTAACAAGGTGTGGGGCGCGGTGCTCTATCGCACCTATCAAGGTGTGGGGCGTGCTCTATCGCACCTAACAAGGTGTGGGGCGGTGCTCTATCGCACTAACCAAGGTGGGGTGCTAGGCACCTAAGGTGTGGCGGTGCTCTATATCGCACCTACAAGGTGTGGGGCGGTGCTCTATCGCACCTAACAAGGTGTGGGGCGGTGCTCTATCGCACCTAACAAGGTGTGGGGCGGTGCTCTATCGCACCTAACAAGGTGTGGGGCGGTGCTCTATCGCACCTAACAAGGTGTGGGGCGGTGCTCTATCGCACCTAACAAGGTGTGGGGCGGTGCTCTATCGCACCTAACAAGGTGTGGGGCGGTGCTCTATCGCACCTAACAAGGTGTGGGGCGGTGCTCTATCGCACCTAACAAGGTGTGGGGCGGTGCTCTATCGCACCTAACAAGGTGTGGGGCGGTGCTCTATCGCACCTAACAAGGTGTGGGGCGGTGCTCTATCGCACCTAACAAGGTGTGGGGCGGTGCTCTATCGCACCTAACAAGGTGTGGGGCGGTGCTCTATCGCACCTAACAAGGTGTGGGGCGGTGCTCTATCGCACCTAACAAGGTGTGGGGCGGTGCTCTATCGCACCTAACAAGGTGTGGGGCGGTGCTCTATCGCACCTAACAAGGTGTGGGGCGGTGCTCTATCGCACCTAACAAGGTGTGGGGCGGTGCTCTATCGCACCTACAAGGTGTGGGGGCGGTGCTCTATCGCACCTAACAAGGTGTGGGGCGGTGCTCTATCGCACCTAACAAGGTGTGGGGCGGTGCTCTAGTCGCACCTAACAAGGTGTGGGGCGGTGCCTCATCGCACCTAACAAGGTGTGGGGCGGTGCTCTATCGCACCTAACAAGGTGTGGGGCGGTGCTCTATCGCACCTAACAAGGTGTGGGGCGGTGCTCTATCGCACCTAACAAGGTTGTGGGGCGGTGCTCTATCGCACCTAACAAGGTGTGGGGCGGTGCTCTATCGCACCTATCAAGGTGTGGGCGGTTGCTCTATCGCACCTAACAAGGTGTGGGCGGTGCTCTAATCGCACTACAAGGTGTGGGGCGGTGCTCTATCGCCACTATCAGGTGTGGGGTGGGGCGGTGCTGCCTAATCGCACCTAACAAGGTGTGGGGCGGTGCTCTATCGCACCTAACAAGGTGTGGGGCGGTGCTCTATCGCACCTAACAAGGTGTGGGGCGGTGCTCTATCGCACCTAACAAGGTGTGGGGCGGTGCTCTATCGCACCTAACAAGGTGTGGGGCGGTGCTCTATCGCACCTATCAGGGCGCAGCAGCGAGCGGATGACCTGGGCTGCCTTGAGCCGCTGCCGCACGTCCAGGTAGCTGGAGGGCTCATCGAACATGTAGATGTCTCCCAGCTGCCCCGCCACCACCCCGATGGCAAACCGCTGCAGCTCTCCTCCTGAGAGATGCTCCACCTCACGCTCCCACACCTGAAGCAGGGAACAAGGGGGAAGAGGGAGAGGAAAAGGGGTTAGACAGTTAATTAATTGGGTCTGATGGCAAACCGCTACAGCCTCACCATCTGATAAATGGACCACTTAGAGATTCATCGCACCTCTTTGAACTGCCACTCACCGCACTAAACCCCATCGCACCTGCTTGAGCTCCAGCACTTCCGACAGCTCATCCTTGGCATCGCGCTCGTCCTTCCCTGTCAGCACCACGCCCACCAACCCCTTCACCGCCTTCCCTCACTCTCCACGCCAAGCACCCGAACAGCCCTGCCCCACTCGCACCTATTCGAACTGCCTCTCACCACTTTGAACCCCATCGCACCTGCTTGAGCTCCAACACTTCCGAGAGTTCATCCTTGGCATCACGCTCGTCCTTTTCTGTCAGCACCACGCCCACCAGTCCCTTCACCGCCTTGGGAATGTGGTCCACGTACTGTGGCTTGATGATGGCCTGGGAGGTTGAGGGTGGGGGAAGGGGAGCACGGGGGGAATGGGGCATGAATGTCACTTTGATGTCTCAAGAACCCCTACTCTGTGAGCACTGCGCCCACCAACCCCTTGACCGCCTTGGGAATGTGGTCCACGTACTGTGGCTTGATGATGGCCTGCAGAGGACCAGGAGGGAGGAGAAGGGGAGAGGGAGAATGGGACACGCATCAGTGCGTTAGAAAGAGGTTAAAGGTGGCAACGACGACGCACAGGGAGCGATGGTCTAAACCGTGCTGTCCTGAATTGATCAACTCGATCGTCATCTGCTCACAGCCCACTAACCTCCCTTGAACGCAAATTTGTATGCCTCCTTTGCACTGCACTCCACCTTGATGTTCTCTTCCAAAATGCGAGTGAAGGAGTTGAGCAGCTCAGCCAGTCTCAGGCACCAACTCAATGTCAGACGTAAACCTGCGTACCCCCTCGCACCGCACCCCAACTTGAGGATCCTTTCCAAAATGCAAGTAGAGCAGTTTTGCAACTCAGAAAGTGTCAGACACCAACCCCATGTCAGACCCAACCTGCATACCCCTTTGCACCGAACCCCACCCACCTTCAGGTTATCCTCCAGAATGCGAGTGAAGTAGTTCTGGAGCTCAGACCCTCGGAAGTAGGTCAGAATCTCCTGCCAGTCAGGGGGGTTCTGAACACACAAAACGGGCAGGGCAACACACAGTATGGGCAGCACATATAAGGGTGGGGAGGATTGGAGGGGATGAGACGGACAATTACGGCAAACTTGCAGTCGGACTCTCAGAAATAGGTCAAAATGTCTTGCCTGTCAGGGGGGTTCTGGAGTCAAAATGTGGGGCACAAGCATGGGGGAAGTGGGAAGACAACGCTATTTTCTCAGGCCTTTCATAGGCAATCCTGCAGCTCCGACTTTCAAAAGTATATCAAAATCTCCAGACAATCGAGGGGTTCTGTGTGCAATACGCGGGGTGATAATAAGAGTGAAAGGGAAAAGAGGAGAGACATTTGAGAAGGAGGGAAGGGGGGTGGGGGTGTGCATGCAAGGGGAGAGGCAGAAAGGGAGTGGGGGGATGGGAGAAAGGGAGGGGGTGGATAAGGAGCAGCTAATAGTATTAATACGAGTAGAAAGGAAAGGGCGAGGATTGGAGTGAAAAGAAGGAATGGACGCGAGAATTGGAGAGAGAAGAGGGGCTGGGTGCTCACACTGAATCGCCCGAGGTTGGGTTTGAGCTTCCCTGCCAGCACCTTGAGCGCCGTTGACTTGCCAATGCCATTCGTGCCCACCAGGCCCAGCACCTGGCCTGGTCGCGGCACTGGCAGCCTGAGAAGCAGGCGTTGGGAGTGGGAGACACGGAGGGGGTGGGGTGGGTGGGGCTGGGGGATTGAGTTAGATTGCGGCTAGCACGGGCGGTCCATCAGCCCTGCCAGCACCTTGAGCGCCGTTGACTTGCCAATGCCATTCGTGCCCACCAGACCCAGCACTTGGCCTGGTCGCGGCACTAGCAGCCTAAATGGGTGGCGGTGATCGGACATAAGGCGCGAGGATCGGTTGTCAGCGGTTCTGAGGACATAATAGCTGCTGGCCCTGCCAATTTATCAGTTTAGTCTGGAGGCATCAAAGATACATTTGGAGGCTGAAGTCTATTATGGACTAGGGTTTGTGCGGCTGACACGTGGACGGATACATGAGACGGGCGGATGAAAGGGAGTTGAAAAACGCAAGGGACGGATGAGAGGTCACGCGTAAAACCCTGAACCCCTGTTCGACGTAGACAAGGCAAGGCAGCTGCACGCGCCGTTTCGTACGCCCGGCGCTGCCATGAAGGAAAACATCGCTGCGAGAACGAGTCTCTAGTGTGATGACTTGAGTGTAAGGGCAGCCCCTGATGGGCTCCCGAGAAGAAGAAAAGAGCATGTGTGAAACCTGCATCACGTAAACTCAGAACACCCTAGCTCTGCTGCCAATGGTAGACCTAACCCTAGGCTGGGACGTCGCGCGGGCACCTCAAACGACACTGCAGAACTACATGCGTAACTGACACTGCTGATGATGTAGTAGAACCCCGGACCCTGGTTATCATCACGTGGCCTACTCTACACCCAGTAACGTAGAAACTCAATCTCGTCTGCAGCGTAACGGCCTGCAACGCTAGGACGTCGACTAAAGAACGGCGCGGGGCCCGAGAACTTGGAGCTAAAGGAGCTAACGCTGACGTCATCAGTGAAGTTCGAAGCAGCTAACTCTGACGTCAGTGTGGAACCTAATATCGCAGATTCTGGCGTCACCTGTGGAGCTTGAAGGTGTTGGGGCCGTAGCGGTGCGTGGTGTCCTTATCGAGGTCCTTGGGCAGATTGATGATTTCAATGGCGTCGAACGGACATTTCTGTCACCACAGACCACAAAAAACACAATTTCTGACCACGCCCAGAGACTCTGAGAAATCGCATGTCGACTTCGATAAAGGAAAGTGATATCGCGAATACCGAGGCGAAGTAACTGTTATCAGCGCCGATGCTCACCTTGACGCAGATACCGCAACCGATGCAAAGCTCTTCGGAAATGAAGGCGATTTTGGAGGTGGAGCCGACCTCGATGCAAAGCTTGCCTGTGACAAGCGAGTCAACGAGTCAACCGGTCAACGAATTAACGAGTCAACGGTCAGGGATATCGAACGAGTCAACAACGGGTCAGGGACATTGAACGAGCCAACAAACCAACAATCAGGAAGAACGGGTCGGAGACAAATAGTACACGGATGGGATGACCGTGCACGAGAGGGTGAGGAGAATCATGGGGAGAAATCGGAACAAATATAGTATCGACGTTGAGACGCAACCGAAGACAAGGCTAAGTCGAACTGATAGCGCGAAACTGAGGGGATATTGCCGACAGGTCGGAAGAGGAGGGAGCGTTGCAGCACCCGAGAGAAACCATGATCAGACTCGTAAATGTAACTAGGAGGCGAAAAACGAGAGAACGTGGGAAGACTTTGAGGAGGCTCAAACGGCCACCCGAGGAACAGAGTGATCGGATTCGTGGAATCTAACGAGAAGGCGGAGAGGAGAAATAACGATAGAAAGAGAGAAGGTGGGTGGGATGGCGACGACGGTACCAGTCTTGACGACTGGACAACTCTTCTTGCACTCCTGCCGACACTTCTTAGGCTTGCAGCGATCGCCGCTCACGATCGCAATACGCGTCAACCGATCCGCCATGCCGTATCTACAGTATTGGCAGCACTAAAATTCTTACTGATTTTTTAAGTATACAAGCTACCCGCGACTTAAGATACGAACACCAGAAGCTCCCGCGACGGCCTGAGCTAATTAGTTACTACAACCTTGCCGGACAGAACAGAAGCCTGCAGCAGTCCTGCGAGGCAAAGGGAGCATCAAGGAGCTGCGAGCTCCTCTTATTGTTTGTTGGCTTCTCTCCCCCACAAGCAGCAGAGGACGCAAAGCCCAAGGTACCGACCCAACCAAAAACGCGGATAAGGGCATCGTGTGTTCTTGGTGGACTGTGGAACAGAGAGATTCCTTAATGGTATTTGGAGTTACCCTAGGATGAAGACAAGGAGTTCATGATATATGTAAGGAATTTTCTCGACATTCCTTAGCGCATCCCGCAATATCGCGTACAGCAGCAGCCGTTGTTTCGCCCCGTTACTGCTAACGGGGCTTCGCCGACTTCGCGCGCACTGTTTCACCAAACCTCGCACTGCTGGCCCGACCGTGTCGGCCTACACTTCGGGACTGGCCCGAACCTCACTGCCAGCGTAGCACTAGCTAGCTCGCACTGCACCGCGTTACCGTTTGCATGTTTCGCGTATAAATGTTCGCTCATCCCTTCGCTCACATTTTGTACTCGTTTGACACTTAGTGCAATCCTCGCTACCTCGATTCATTGCACCCGTAACACTTGGTATTCAGAGCCTTTTTCTTTTCGGACCGCGCATCTCCGCACCCCAGGAAATCAACTTTTGATTTTTCACTCGAAGGGACTCACGCACCTTAGCCCCTAGGAGCCGCTGTCTTCGCGTTCTCTCGTAAACGCGTGTAGCCACGACTGTGCCTAGACTAAGCCGCAATGGCCAAGCACATCGACGTCACCACCCTCACGGCATGAGCGTCTGAACGAACTGCTGCAGCAACTTCGCGAAAGCTCTGAAGAAATCGCGGCGCTGACGGCAGAACGCACGTCCCTACAAAATGACGTCGCACGAGCACAGCAAGCACAGTCGCAAGCACCTGGCACTCCGGTACAGCCCGCACCCACAAGCGTCGCAACACGGAAGTGTGGGGCAACCCGCGAGCGCGGCCAGTGATGGCGTCATCCGCCACGACGGAGACGACGACCACGGCACGACACACCCCGAAGCGACGACAGGTCGGACCCAAAGCCAACCGCGCGTCACGATTTCGGTACTGATCAACGATTCAGCACTGCCGTCACCGATGCCGCTGAAGCCGCTGAAGCCGCAGCGTCCGCCATGCTTTGACCTGAGTCAACGGGGTGGTCCTACCGTTCAGGCGCGGCTGTTCACGATGAATGTCTTCTTCGACGCCAACTACGTCTCGGAGGATACGGCAAAAATCCGCTACGCCGTGTCGCTGCTGCGAGGACCCGCCATGGACTGGTTGGCGCGTCATCGTCATGAAGCCGAATGACTACGCGACTCTACCAACACGGGAAGGACAAACCGGACCCTGGGCGCCGTCGTATTTCGTGGAGGTGCCCCAATATCGCACGTGGGACGCGTGGTGCGCAGGTCTGCGCCCTCGATTTGAGCCAATTGCGGCTTCGATCGCGGCGCGACAGAAGCTCCGCACTTGGCGCCAACTCGGTTCCGTCCAGGACTACACCAGCGGGTTTTTGGCGCTATGCGAGCAAGTGGGTTATATGCACGAGGGCGAGCGCATCGACCGCTACATCGGCGGCCTGAAGCACGGCATCGCTCAGGAAATCCAGCTTCGCGGCGTCACCGATTTTCAAGAAATTCTCGCTATGGCGGAGAAACTCGATTTCTTCCGCCGACCGAGACCGGGGTCCTACAGAAGCAGTAACTGGGGACATCAGTCTCGTGGGACGAACGAGGGCGCTACGATACGTGCCGTCGCCGCGAATGCCGCTGCCGCACCGTTCAAAGGGCGCTGCTTCGCGTGCAATCAGCCGGGACACCGTAAGAGTGAATGCCCGGAAAACGCTAAGGGAAAGGGGGAAGCTGAGCAACAGAAACAGACCAAGCAGCAGGGAAACGCTGGGAGTCAGTAGCAGCCGGGCCCTCTACTGACAGGTCACGCCGCTCGCCCGACCCAACCGACCCTCACCGAGTGATTGTGCCGGTTCACGCAATCGACCACACCCGGCCGAATAAGGAGGGTACTACGGTAGACAGCCCCATACTGCTTAGTGGGAAAATCGGGACAGACTTAGTTAAAATCTTCGTAGAAGGGGGAGCCAGCCACAGCCTCATTAACACTGCCACAGCACGGAAACTGAAATTGCCACTGGACAGATGCTTACCTGAGATCGATGCAAGACTGGTTGACGGCACGCCACTAGCGATACGAGAACGCGTAGACCGGGTTCGGATTCGATGCGGGGGTAATTTCACGTTTAGCCAAGAAATGCTCGCGACAACCCTTGACGGAACCGACATTTACTCGGTCGTGATTGGCTACGACGACACTATACGTGAATCGACTGGACGATGGGTGACTGCACCGTGCGAGTGAACGGTAACAACATCGCCTTACCTCGCTGGGGCTCGCCTGAGTCTTCGTCGGTGCGTGTGAACGCGATCACGATGAAACGCGCCGTAGCGGCAGGAGTTGACGTGTATGCGGTTGACATTCGGGAAGCCGAGGCAGCATACAAAGGGGGGGATTTACAGAAACTGCTAGTCAACGTACCGGATGACCTGGCAGCACTCTTGAAGCAGTACAGTGAAATATCTCCGGACGACCTGCCGACGGGACTGCCACCTCAGCGACCGCACGACCACAGGATAGAATTAGAACCGGGGGCACAGCCGACAGTACATCGACAGTTCCGACTGACGCAATCCGAACTGGACGAACTGAGGAAGCAGCTAGACTACCTGCTCGAAAAAGAATTCACTCGCCAGAGTTCGTCACCCTTCGCAGCACCGATAGTGTTCACGCCGAAGAAGGACGGGGGTTTTCACATGTGCATAGACTACAGGGCACTGAATAGGGTTACCATCAAATCCCGTTACCCCATCCCGCGAGCCGACGAACTGATCGACCAACTGCGCACATCCCGGGTTTTCTCGAAAATCAACCTTAGAGGGGGTTACCAACAGATTCGCGTCAATCCAACCGACTGCCCCAAGACAGCTTTCCGAACACGCTACGGGTCCTTCGAATATATAGTCATGCTCTTCGGACTGACCAACGCCCCCGCCACCTTTCAAATGACAATGAATGAAGCCTTCCGCCCGCTTTTAGATAAGTGCGTCATCGTGTACCTCGGCGATATACTGATTTACAGCTCCGACAGAGCACAGCAC